CTTTCGGCTTCTCCTCAAGGACGCCCCTTGGGTTTGGGACTCCGCTTGTCAAGAGGCTTTCGACGGCCTCAAAACCAACCTTCAACGCGCCCCGATCTTGGCGCTCCCAGACTTTGACAAACCTTTCTCCGTCGTTTGCGACGCTTCGCAATTCGCAATTGGCTGCTGCCTGATGCAGCTCGACGCCTCAGGTCACCCTCGCCCGGTCTCCTACCAAAGCCGCCAACTTCACGCGGCTGAGCGGGCCCCAGTCCACGATTTGGAACTTCTCTCCATGAAGTACGCCCTGACCAAGTTCCGCATCTACCTCCTCGGCGGAAAACCCTTCGTGATTTACACCGATCATGCGTCATTACGCACAGCGACGAATACGCCCCACCTTTCACAGCGCATGGCGCGCTGGATTTCGTTCTTCTCCGAATTCATATTTTCGGTACCATACAAGCCCGGGAAGGACAACATCTTAGCCGACGCTCTCTCTCGGCGCCCTGACCGCGAACTGACCACGATCGGTCTTTTAACGTCGGGTCTTCACGATCGAATTCGTGCAGCGTACGCTTTTGACGCTGACTGCTCGTCGCGTCTGGCAGCGCTCACCGACCCCGTTTCCCCCAAACCCCGCCGTGCTTCGTCGGCCTTACACCGCTTCGCCCTCGCCGATGGGCTTTTGATGTTTCAACCCACCTCGGACTCTCCGCCGCGCATTGTTGTACCCGGTGACGCGCAACTGCGCCTCGCTCTCCTTCGATCCTACCACGACTCCCCCAGCGGCGGCCATTTCGGCCGCGACAAAATGCACGCGATCTTGGCGCGTTCATACTGGTGCCCCGCATGTATAAATCCGTTGTGCGCTACGTCGCTCATTGCGACGCTTGCCAGCGCACTAAAATCACCACTTCTTCTCGGGCTCCACTCCATCCCCTGCCTATTCCCGACGAACTTTGGTCGTCCGTCAGCATGGATTTCATGTTTGGCCTGCCCCGCGACGCCCGCGGCAACACCGGCATTATGGTTTGTGTCGACCGAGCGTCGAAATACGTTATTGCCGTCCCCGTCCGCGACACGCTGAGCAGCGCGGATGCCGCTCGCATCTTTTTCGACCACGTTTTCTGTCGTTTTGGCCTACCTCGTTCCATCGTTTCGGACCGCGATCCGCGGTTCACGGCGAAGTTTTGGTCCACCCTCTTCGCCCTCTGCGACACCTCGCTCGATATGTCGACTTCGGATCACCCCGAGTCCGACGGCCAAACGGAACGGGCCAACCGCGTCCTCGAAGATATCCTCCGGAGCTACTCCGTCTCCACCGGTTCCTCTTGGCCTGTCACGCTACAGCACGCAGTTTTCGCTTACAACGCCTCGGTTCAG